GTCACAGACAGAAGTTACCCTGTGAAGCCCAGTAATAGATGGTTTTGCAAGTAAATGATGTTCAGCCAAAGATAATTGGTGAATAAGGGAAGCCCTGGCAGCAGTAGAGGACTTTTTAAATGGGAGTCCATAGAGATACAGAGTCCCCAAAAGACAGCCTTATGAGCCTCCCATAGGGTAGAGGAAGAAATTCTCTGAGCCCACATTATGATGAAAGTACATGTCTAGTCCTTGAGAAAGTTCCTTTCGGGAAATGGGTCGTAGTGAGGAAAGTCTCATTGAGGCGCCAGTGACAGGCCTTCTGTAGGGAGTCAGGAAAAGAAGATTCAAAGTCAGAGAAGTATGGTCAGACCACGTGATAGGATTGATTTCAGAAGAAACCAAAAGAGGAAGTAAAGGAGCGGAGACAAAAAAGTGGTATAAGCAAGAATAACTGCAATGAGGAGAAGACTAGAAAGTAAATTGTTTGTGTAAGGGATGTTTGACCCGCCAAGCATCAAAGAGACAATGTTCCCTGATCAACTTACGAAAAGATCTTGAGGAGGAACATTGCCACTTCAAGGGGGTGGATGCAGAAAGGACCTTCCTGTCTTTATGGGGGACATAATTAAATTAAAGTTGCCACCAATGATCATGTGTGGTGTAGAAAGGGAATTTAATCTGGCGAGTGTTTGGGAAAGGAATTGCAATTGACCCACGTTTAAGGCATACAAATTTAACAAAATAAGAGGAGACCCTCCAAACATACATTCTAGAAGAACAAAACGACCCTGTGGGTCGACTCTGGAGGAAACAACCCGGAGGGAGCAGTGTTTCCGTATCAAAATCGCTACCCCGGCCTTCCCAGTGGATCAAAAGCCGAGTAGGATTGGGAGAAAAAATGTGATGCAAAACTAAAAGAGCCATTCGATTTAAAATGGGTCTCCTGAACAAAAATAACATCTGCTCCTGAGGATTGAAATTCCTTTAAAGCCATCCACCGTTTTTGGATAGAGTTAAGACCTTTGACATTATAGGATAGTAACCGTAAAGTCATCATTAGGTAATAATACAAAAAGCAATTGTACCAGTATAAAGAGTGAATAAAGCATCATCGATGAAAAAAAACTGAAATCAATAAAACCAGAGACGACATAAACTGTAAGAACAGCAAAAAAAAACAAATATATCAGTAATGATATAAACTCAGGACATGGGAACAGACCCAAGTCGTCTAGAACTAATGCTAGATGGGTTCGGGGACAACATGACAACCGACACATCTCACCAATTGTCCATCCCGGCAAAAAAAAACAAAATGAAAGCACACAACCAGGGGATAGCAACATTGACGTTAGCGGTGCAATAATTGGGGAAGAAGGTGACTACAAGAATGCCCAACTGCTCTCCTGCTCTAGGAGGTCGTGGGCGTAGAGGTATACTAGAAAGACATTTCCGCCCAGTACGGGCCAGTGTCCAGATCTTGGTTGGAAGGTGGAAGGGTGTGATGGAGTAGGCGGCAGCAAAGATGGATCATCAGGAAGAGGGGGAAGTCCCAGGTGATGAAGGAAGGAGTCCGCTTCAGGAAGATCACATAGGGTAGCTTGAGTGTTGTCTTTGGAGATGACCAACTTGAAGGGAAACCCCCACCGATAAGGAACGTGGTGTTGTTGGAGATGGGTGGTGACCGGTTTCAGAGCCCATCATTTGGCCAGGGTAATCGGAGAGAGGTCACTGAAGAGTTGGAGTTTGTCCCCTTTGAATTCCAAGGATGATTAGTTGCACGCAGAAGAGAGCAGAGCCTCCTTGCTTTAAAAAAAAAATGAAAACGGACAATGACATCGCAGGGTCTGGTGCCCTCAGGTGGTTTAGGGCCCAGAGAGCGGTGAGCTCTATGCAGCCACCAATCTGATTCTGGGACCATGGGGGAAGTTGCGGTAAAAAAGGACAGCAAATGGTGACGAATTTGGGAATCAGAGATTGTTTCAGACATACCACGGATACGGATATTCTTGCACCGTTCCCTGTTTTCCAGGTCTTCTTGTTGAAGCCGCATTTGGGACATGGAGTGCTTCAAGTAAGAGTTGTCTTCTTCCAAAACATGTACGTATTGTACCAATTCATCAAACTTGGTCTCCAGGTGATCAGTGCAGTCCCCAATCTTTGCAATCTCCCCCCTAAGATCCAGGGCCAGCTTCCCAACTTCAGCAGATATAGTAGCATTAATATTGCACAGGAATACTTGCAATTTGTCGTCCAAAGATGAGGCTGTTAAGGTGGATGGTGCTGGCTGCAAGAATGGGACTGTGGCTGAAGCTGTGAGATGCTCTGAATAAGGGTGATCTGCTGCCCCCCCTACCACCTGTAGGTGCCTGGAATTCTTCATCTGGCTAGTCTCTCGATATGGAACTGTGAGGGGTCCTGTGGAGGGCTGATCGATCCCTCCCCCAGTCGCCGCTGGGTGCCCGGAGCTCCCTTGTGTGCTGGGAGCGGTAGTAGAGGCCGGGGGTGCAGCCTAGATAGGAAGCGCTGTAGTGGGGAAGGCCACGGGTCCATCAGCGGTGGGGAGGGGGGCTTCCAGCTCCCAATATTCCCCATGCTACGTCTCCGGGTGTGCGCTGGGCTTATGCGGCCTGCCTGGAGCAGTGGTCGGCTTGAGGAGCGGAGCGGGAGAGCAGGAGGTGCCGGGGATGAGCGGAGTTCTGTCACTGAGCGTCCGCCATCAAGCATGGTCGCGCATGCTCCCAACCATACATTTTCTGGCATTGACAATTTTTTACGTCCCATGATATTTGTGCAAATGTTTATCAAATGTATATTTTCAATTAAAAAAAAAAATTCCAAAGTCATTATTAGCACACACAGTAAAACTTACGAAAGTCTTACAAAATCTAAAAAAACTGTATTAATTTTCGTAAATAATTAATATTTATATATTTCAAATTGGGCATTTTTGGTGGGTGAAAATTGTAAATCAGGACGTGTGTCTATTTTTATACTCCCAGGACATTGTTAACATCAGCTAAGTGAGGCCCAGCTCTTACTGCTCACCTCCACTAAGGGTGAACTCTCAAATGCTGATCTCAGAGCTATTGCATAAACGGAGAGAAGGAGCATGTAGGGAGATTAAATAAAAAAAAAAAAGCTCACTCCTGTGATGGTGGAGGTGAGCAGTAAATGCTAGGCCTCTTTTAACAGCGTTCTAGCAACATCCTCGGAGTATTCCAGTCAGGCTTCATGAGGTATGTAAATGGCCTACACCTATAGCAAGGACATTATTCAACAGTGATCTTCAAACTGCTGCCCAGGGACCAGATGCAGCCCTTTGCTTGCCCACCATATTCTCCCACTGAAACGAGACACTATCCTGCCAACTGACACCAATAATAGAACAACATTTCTCCCACTGACACCAACAATGGTGCACTATTCCTTCCAATGATGCCAATGATAGGGCACTATTCCTCCTCCTATTACCAATTGTGGGCAATGTTTACTCCAATGGATGCCAGGAAAATTTCCATTCCTGCTGGCCACAGTCTGCCCCCCCGCCCCAAAGTCTGAGTGACAATAGGCTGGCCCTTTGGAGAGTTTGGAGACTCCTGCTCTGAAGTTTAAATCCAGGCATCCCCTAAACATTCCCTCCCACCTAAAAACCTCCCACATGTATTTTTTATGCAAGTTTAAGATTTTTTAAGGTTTTTTTTTTTTTAGGTTTTTTAAAGTACTTACCTTTTCCATATGTATTCAGGTTAATTACACATGAGCCAGAGAGTCTTCCACTTCACCTCTGCTCAAGCACTGATGTTTATTTTTTTCTAACTCAGTGCCTCTCTCTGCATCACTACAATGTGAGTGTTGGGCACCATGGTGATGCTCCCGCTGGGGGATGGGTCAATAAAACCCTGCAATCACATGTTGTACAGCCTTATATTTAAAAGACTGAAAGGACCAAATAAGAAACTTTCATTATTGGGATGCACTTACACTTTAATGGGTCTTACCAACAAAAACTGACATTTCAGTTTTGCAAATACTGGAGAATTAAATCATTTTATGTACTTCTTATATAGACACTGAATGCATTCTTACATAGTTTAAAAATAAAAAAAAAACTATAAACCTTTTCTTTAGACGTTGAAAGTTATTTCTTTGAATATGTCATTGAAAAACAATAAATATGTCCTTATTTGCCGTCACATAACAAATCTTAGAGAATATCTCAGCTGATTACTTTTGATTATTTTTTATAAAAGTTTTCTTGTATAACTATTTTTATCACATATAGTCCTTGAATGAACTAAATTTGATATTTGAATATTTGAGCAGAACACAATGTCTTAGTCTTGACTACCATTTACATTTTTTTTCTTGTTTGCAATCAGCCATATGTCAAATTTTGCTACATAAATCAAAGATTGCTGTAATATAAAAAATATGAGTGGTTTATTTCTTTGGTATGTTGACTTGCCTTAGATGTGAAAGTAAGGCAGCCCATAGATGACATATTTTTTTTCGTTCAACCAGGAGGTTGAATGAACAAAAAAGACTCGATTCCCCCATCCACACACACAATGTGGATTGGGAATCCTCCCCGGTGATCTATTGTAGTCTGACAGTAGTGAGATTTCCCTGCCATCAGAATACACTAATCAGCTATAGCTGGTGGGGCTGGCCGCGTGGACATTTTTCAAAGGGGCGGTTGTACAGAAGTCGATCGGTAGATTGAGTTCTGTACAACCACCCTGCCGATACATGGATCAAAATTCAGCTGGTTCACAGAAGCATGGCTTCAATCCATGTATGGTCGGATTAACACACTCAATGAGTTTGGTACAGACTCCTATCAGGAATAAGTTTCATCTTGTTTTTCTGTATTAAAAGTTTACTTTATTAATTAGTATTTGAATAGTCTGTATTAAACAATATAAAATGTCAGGTCAATACATCAACCTTTGAAAGAAGACACAAACTTATAGCTTTGGGCCACTCACAATGCACGTTGGTAAAGTATCATTCCACTGAGCCAAGGCATTAGGCACTGCATCACATCTGATGGACACTGATCCATGGAGGATATATCCTGGGTTACACTCAAAGAAAACCACAGATCCAACGGCAAACTCATTTCCAATCCTTTTTCCAAAACGCGGCTCTGGCACTGAGCTACATTGAGTTGCGCTTGTCCTAGGAACCGCTGTAAAATAAATATAACAGAATTTTAAGAGCAAATCCAGGCAACAAGTAAGTCATTTATTGCTCCTCCTAACACTATCTTCAACTCAAATGGATTTAATTTTCCTATGGTCCCTTGCAATATTGATTTACAGAACTTTCAGAGGGATGCACTGGGATGGGCTGTAGATTCTTGCCAGACAATCTGGGTTGTACCACCTCCTTTGCAAGAGTAAATTATGGATTTTACAGCCAGATGGGTTAACAGAAGGCTCTGAAATTCATCTTTAAAATCTTAACAATAATGACCAATAATTTATGAAAATAAAAGCAAGTGTGTTTATTTATTTTGTACAACTAAGGCACTTTTTTTTTTAGAAAAGGCCTAATGTACTGAAACATAAAGTGGTCAAAAGCTGTTTTTTTTTTTAGGTGATTTCTCATATGCTTAATAAAGTAGCTGTTATTTAAGGGTTGGTTTACCAAACACCACTATTTTAGCTATGGTTACAAAATGTTAAATAACCCAACACTGTATTTTTTCTGAAGGATAATATTTTAAATGCCAAGGTCTCATCACTTGAGATCCAGGATCTGCAATTTGCTTTGGTCACTCATTTTGTTGGATTTCTATTTCAGTTCATATTATGGAGAATGACACGGGATAAGTGGGAATACTCAAGGCTCCAGGGTGGGTTAGAACATTTAATAAGTTAAGGTGGGTGGGAATACCAAATAGTTCAAGGTGGGCTGGAACAGCTATGCTTTGAGATCCCACTACTGGATTCCTCTAAAGATGGAAAAACTCAAAGAGTATCTTAGCCTGCCACACTTGTTCTGTACAGGGAATACCAAGCTACTGTATACAAATGCGGGCTCTTATTCACATTATCTGGCTTTTAGTTATTGTAAGATAACCCTACAATCCCAACTAGCCTTGGGAAGGCATATGTATAATTGGAGTACATACAAAGATATATGTACCTAGCATGTCTCCAAAAAGGTGTAGTTGGAAATTTAATACAGCTGGCAAACATTTTAATAGATGATTCATATACAGTACATACATATGTTTATAAATATTTTACTTTTAGATTCTTGCCAATTCAGCTTTCTATCTCATCTCTGCTGTTTCTATTTAACAAGGAATCAGCATCATCAACCCTATCTAATTTACAGGGATCTAATCTAGAAATAAGCAAATATAGATCAAAAACATGCAGCATGCTCTTTCTAGCTGTATAGCAGAGGTGTGTAAATCTCAAGATTGGCCGAACAGAATTACCAATTATCAAGCAAGTAAAATAGTAAAGTGTTTTCAGTTGTTCTGCTTTAGTTGCACTTTAGGACTCCCTGGTGTGCATATGACAGGTTCAGCATCAGAGAACTCGGGAAGGCAACCACAATGGGAATTGTACAGCAGGTGGAGAGAATCAATAATGTATTGCAAACTGACGAGATTTACCTAGCATATTTTTTACTCTGCAGAGTCAGTTTTCATATCAAATAATCGTAATTCACTGAAGTGCAAACTTTTTAGAATGTTTTTTTCCACAACGTTCAATATTGCCAAAGCAGTGCCATCTTCAACACTTGGAATTAGCTAAGTGCTTTATTACTGAAGACATATTATTTTATTACAAGCAGTTTCTCTGTTGATTTATGAATATGATATGAAAGAAACTGTAATGTACAAAGATTCTGTCAGTTTTTAAATAAGTATGCCATAGGTATTAGCCACTTGAACATGTAAGTGTGTAAGTATAGAAAATATTCTAATTCCCATAAGTGGGTGAACACACACACACACATTTAAATTGCAAGCACCTGCTATAAAATAAAAACATGCCATCAGTCACTTACAACTTGCTAATTGGCAGAAAGTCTAATAAAATGTGTCCCACTCTGTCAAAAGTTAAGAAAGAACCTCAGCTAAATATTCTTTGATTTTGGATAGGGTGGGAGTGCCACACCAACTTGTATTGTTCTTTAATAGATTTTATTTTGCAAAATAAAATCTTTAAAAGGCATATACAAGCTGGTGTGGTGCTCTCATCCTTTTAAAACTTTAGTAGACCCCACAATTGCTGGTGAGCAGCCTCTAAGACTGTAAGCCACCCATCACGTTATAATGCATCTCTGCATGGTGCAGCCCTCCTATGCCACAAAGTTTGGAAAGGGTAGGGAAGAAGAGATAGCACCTTTAGTTAGTACTACTGTCAACATTGCGTGTAGGTGAGATTTCCCTACACTTTCTGTGCCTGTAACATGATGGTCTTTGGAACAAGAAATTAGACCAAATCTTTAGCATAGGGAAACTACAGCAATAAAAGCTATTTTTTCATAGTGTCCTTATCAGAGTTTTCCCCTATGTTCCAGCACCAATGTTCATTGGGTCATGGTTCAGAAAAATATCCCCTTACTAGACCAGAGACAGAAACAATTATCTTGGAAAAATAGAAGAAAAAGAGTATTAGCCAAAATATATAGAATCCAAAATTATTTATTCCATCTTATGTATCCAAAAAAAAAGCCAACATCACATATCAGCATCATTGATGTCAACAAATCTACTAATTGGTTTTATTATAATGGCTTTAGCATTTAATGGTTTAGAGCAGTGGTTCTCAACCTTTCTAATGCCGCGACCCTTTAATACAGTTCCTCATGTTGTGGTGACCCCCAACCATAAAATTATTTTCGTTGCTACTTCATAACTGTAATTTTGCAGTGGGAGGACTAGCGCCCTATCACTGATGTCAGTGGGATGAATAGTGTCCCATCGTTGGTATCAGTGGGAGGAATAGTGCCCCATCGTTGGTGTCAGTGGGAGGAATAGTGCCCCATCGTTGGTATCAGTGGGAGGAATAGTGCCCCATCGTTGGTATCAGTGGGAGGAATAGTTCCCCATCGTTGGTGTCAGTGGGAGGAATAGTGCCCCATCATTGGTGTCAGTGGGAGGTGTCCCATCGTTGGTATCAGTGGGAGGAATAGTGCCCCATCGTTGGTGTCAGTGGGAGGAATAGTGCCCCATCGTTGGTGTCAGTGGGAGGAATAGTGCCCCATCGTTGGTGTCAGTGGGAGGAATAGTGCCCCATCGTTGGTGTCAGTGGGAGGAATAGTGCCCCATCATTGGTGTCAGTGGGAGGAATAGTGCCCCATCATTGTGTCAGTGGGAGGAATAGTGCCCCATCGTAGTGGGAGGAATCCCATCATTGGTGTCAGTGGGAGGAATAGTGCCCCATCATTGGTGTCATTAGTGTCCCATCATTGGTGTCAGTGGGAGGAATAGTGTCAGTGGGGAGGAATAGTGCCCCATCAATGGTGTCAGTGGGAGGAATAGTGCCCCATCATTGGTGTCAGTGGGGGGAATAGTGCCCCATCATTGGTATCAGTGGGGGGAATAGTGCCCCATCATTGGTATCAGTGGGAGGAATAGTGCCCCATCATTGGTATCAGTGGGAGGAATAGTGCCCCATCATTGGTGTCAGTGGGAGGAATAGTGCCCCATCATTGGTGTCAGTGGAAGGAATAGTGCCCCATCATTGGCGTCAGTGGGAGGAATAGTGCCCCATCATTGGCGTAAGTGGGAGGAATAGTGCCCCATCATTGGCGTCAGTGGGAGGAATAGTGCCCCATCATTGGCGTCAGTGGGAGGAATAGTGCCCCATCATTGGCGTCAGTGGGAGGAATAGTGCCCCATCATTGGCGTCAGTGGGAGGAATAGTGCCCCATCATTGGCGTCAGTGGGAGGAATAGTGCCCCATCATTGGCGTCAGTGGGAGGAATAGTGCCCCATCATTGTCGTCAGTGGGAGGAATAGTGCCCCATCATTGGCGTCAGTGGGAGGAATAGTGGCCCATCATTGGCGTCAGTGGGAGGAATAGTGCCCCATCATTGGCATCAGTGGGAGGAATAGTGCCCCATCATTGGCATCAGTGGGGGGAATAGTGCCCCATCATTGGCATCAGTGGGAGGAATAGTGCCCCATCATTGGCATCAGTGGGAGGAATAGTGTCCCATCATTGGCGTCAGTGGGAGGAATAGTGCCCCATCATTGGCGTCAGTGGGAGGAATAGTGTCCCATCATTGGCGTCAGTGGGAGGAATAGTGCCCCATCATTGGCGTCAGTGGGAGGAATAGTGCCCCATCATTGGCGTCAGTGGGAGGAATAGTGCCCCATCATTGGCGTCAGTGGGAGGAATAGTGCCCCATCATTGGCGTCAGTGGGAGGAATAGTTCCCCATCATTGGTGTCAGTGGGAGGAATCAGTTGGGTCAGGAATAGTGCCCCATCATTGGCGTCAGTGGGAGGAATAGTGCCCAATCATTGGCGTCAGTGGGAGGAATAGTTCCCCATCATTGGTGTCAGTGGGAGGAATAGTGCCCCATTGTGGGTGTCAGTGAGAGGAATAGTGCCCCATTGTGGGTGCCAGGGGGAGGAATAGTGCCCCATCGTTGGTGTCAGTGGGGGGCCCCATCGTTGGAATAGTGCCCCATCGTTGGTGTCAGTGGGGGGAGGAATAGTGCCCCATCGTTGGTGTCAGTGGGGGGAGGAATAGTGCCCCATCGTTGGTGTCAGTGGGGGGAGGAATAGTGCCCCATCGTTGGTGTCAGTGGGGGGAGGAATAGTGCCCCATCGTTGGTGTCAGTGGGGGGAGGAATAGTGCCCCATCGTTGGTGTCAGTGGGGGGAGGAATAGTGCCCCATCGTTGGTGTCAGTGGGGGGAGGAATAGTGCCCCATCGTTGGTGTCAGTGGGGGGAGGAATAGTGCCCCATCGTTGTGTGTCAGTGGGGGGAGGAATAGTGTCTCATCGTTGGTGTCAGTGGGGGGAGGAATAGTGTCTCATCGTTGGTGTCAGTGGGGGGAGGAATAGTGTCTCATCGTTGGTGTCAGTTGGGGGGAGGAATAGTGCCCCATCGTTTGTATTAGTGACACAAATGATGGGGCACTATTCCTCCCACTGATACCAATGATACTTACCTTGCTGACTCCTGCTCCAGCCTGGGCTCGCTCTCTCC